GCACCACGCAGCGGATATACTTCCAGAAACGGATTGTAGGATGCACAGTCCAAAAACTCTTGTTTCAAGTCCGCACACCACACCCGAGGTGACCTCGTTACGTTGTCCAGGCGAAGGTAAAATCGGTTATTCTCTTCGTGCCTGAGCGCGGCGCGCAGGGACGGAAGTTGTCTGACACGAATGGCATAATGAGGTACTTTGATCAGACTTCCCCACTCCATGGTGGAAGCAAATTTGTAATCCTTATGCCATGGGCATTTCCTTGCCAAGATGGCTCTATCCCATTCTGCCTCTGACCACGCATCGATAGGTTTGTCAAAGAAGGGGACGACGATCATCCACGGGTCGTTTTCGGTATCGCCTCCCGAACCACGGAATCCGCATGCACAAGGGTGATTGGGACATGCATAATCATGCCGATGGTCCATGACTCCTGTCGCACTCCCTACACAAGACATGAAATGCAAACACAAATGAAAATGAAATGTGGAAATAGTAGAAAAATTGCCTTCATGATAAACTTAACTTCGGAAATTGTCGAACCATCACCAACCATCTTAAAAAATTTAACCGTGGACCGTCGACAAAATTCGCCACGCAGAATCATCGCAAAAATAATATACTCCCTTCTGAATTCTCGTTCGTCCAAACAATTATTTTCGAAAATCTCACTCCCTCACTTTATCCGGCGGACGTGCACTCGTCGCCCTTGTCCCCTCCATCTGCACCCCCTTCACAAGAAGGACTCAGATCTAGAAGTGCAGCTTCAGCATTCGGTCGAACACTGAAAGGAATGACAAGTCCAGTCTTGAATGGTCTTGTACCTCGGACCGGTCTCTCCCAACCAAAAGCGATCGAGTCAGCATCCTGCCATTGTGTTTGCTCAGTCATTTTCCATCGTTTTTCTCATGCGTTCTCATACAGTTGTTCGAGCGACTTAGCTCTCCCAGTCGGCACCCAATATTCCACTAACACTTGATTATAATTCTGCGAATTATAATCAACAACCACCCGAAAAAGAACTTTGCCCACCCAGATTGGCACACCGCTGGACAGATCATCGTCGGAGGGGCGAAGGATAAGAAAAGTGCCCACGTCAACATGCACGAGGGGGTCGAAACTAGTCTTCGGACGATTTTTTCTTCGTCCAACAAACAGGGGTTCCCTGTCGTCGATGTTGACACTGCGAGGAGAAGGTTGTTGATCGCTTTCGAGCAGCTGTGGTCGTGACCAGAAACTTTCTTGAGGTTGTGAGGACAACCCGTTGACGATGATCTCATCGTCATGTTTGATAACCTCCTTCCAGTACCACAAAGCTCTTTCTCTCCTACTCACCTCATGGTCATTGTAAGTGCACCACGTCGACAGCCTACTCTCCAGCAACTCGCAGAATCGAACAACACCATTTTTGCCATTCAAATAGTCATTTCGAGGAAGGGGTTGCACATGAGGCGGACCTGCATAGCTCTCATCGGGGTTTTGATTGAAGCAATAAATCGGACCTTCCTCGGGCAACTATTCGTCGTTATCGCAAAACTCCTTGTACAACATGCCCGGATTATCTCCAACCATCAAAAATTTAAGCAAGTGCGGTTTCGAAATACCGGTAATGTCTGACGCAACGCACGGGTCTACTATATTAATCCAATCTTCCATCGTATCGAGGAAAATACATTTGGGAGGCTTTTTGTGTGATTGCTCTATGAGCTCGAAGAACTAGTCCATAGTATAAGCGTCTATGTCTTTCAATTTCTTCGAGAAAATGTTGAAAGTAGCGTCGACGTCTGTATGGGTGTGTCCCACCAGCATGAAACCTATTTCTACCTCTTCGAAAACTTTAAACTTAACTAACAGTGCAACCATCGCACATATGTACTTGTTCTTGTTTTCCTGCCAACAGTTATCCGCTTGAATGCGCAAACATCGTGGCTGCGGCGTCCCGCTCCCTTGAATTTCGACAAGGGTTCTCATAACACAAGTAGCGACCGTGTTCGAATCGTGTTTGAAATACGGAAACCATGTGTATACATATATACTAAGGTCTCTACCGTGTGCAATGACGCCTGTCAAATTCGTCTTCATCATCATCTCGTGCCTAAGTATTTTCGAGTAGTTTGCCTGACCAATATGGGGGATAGTTGTTTTCTTCTGATCCATGCCGTCAATGATGAGACACAAACGCTCGTTCGGACGGACCATCGAATCAGTTTTCGCTCGACTATAGTCCAATCTGTGTTCAACTTGCCTCCTTTGGTGAACTTTCATATCCTCTCGAGCTTGTTCTTGATCTCGAGGAAGAGCAGCATACTGTATACGTTCCTTCAGCTCATGAAAGACGGCGCACTTCGTGAACGTGTTAGAGTGCGCGAGGGAAACGTGAAAAAAGTGTTTCCGCCACAATTTGTAAAGGTTGGACTCAGACACGACAGCGAGGCCAGCGGCCAGAAAGTCTGATTCGATGGACTCATAAATTGATCGCTTCGTGAAAGCAGCCGGGAGTCCAAGCTTCGGTCTGGAAACCCCACCTTCGTTAGCCACCTCATTCGGCATGCTATCCGCATGACACTCGATGAACGTTCTCATGCTGGCAAGCATGACGACCATTTTACTGGTTGGCCGATATTTCCCCGTCAGGCCATGCTCGAAATGCACTTAACCATTGTCGAAATGCTTTTTGTAGCTGTAAAATGTATTACGCGAGACACCGAGTACATTGCAGTACGCCTTGACGCACATCGAACGTTCCAACTCCACAGGGCGGACACATCTCTGTCCACCCTCATTCACTGTGAAATCCTTAATACTTTTCATCCACCACTCAGCTTGCTCTACCGGACTCTTACTGTACAGTCCTTGTCTAACCTTTCACACTTCCTCAGGCGACACGTCGTAACAACATCTAGCCTTGCAACATGCCATGCCACGCACCATGAGCAGTCTTTTTTCGGACAACATGTTTCTCGCTCTTTTGTATTGTTCTTTCCTCCTAGCGTTCTTATTAGCCATGCTATACCTTCGTCTTTCGCCTGGCAGAGATGCGGGCAAAATCTGCAGTATCGCCCTTCTCTCTGCATCACCCCTGCCAGACGCTTCCGACCCAAACTGACTCTCAATTGGAATCGCATCAGCACTTCCCACTTGCGTTGGACTCGCTCATGCTGTGGAAAGTTCCTCCGAAGAGTAGTCGGTGGCAACCAACTTCGTACTACTGGAGCCAGCGTGAAGCAAAGGTCCACTGGAAGAGGACTGTGGTCCAGACGAGTAATCAGTGGCCACCAACGGCTCACTCTTGTCATCAGACGATGTGTAAGAAACACCCATCGGCACGCAACTGTTGTGCGCCGAAGCTGTGGGGTTCACCTCTCGAGGAATGTGGAACTCGATCCGGGAGGTAGACGGTTCTTCGCCTGCGGACGTTGTTGCCAATTCTATAGGCAGTTGGATGCAACCTCCAAAGCTCTCACGAAAAGCGAGACTCCGTTTTCTGGGGAAAGTTGCAGCGGACTGTTGGAACGGCGAACTGTTCGAAGAGGACTGTTGGAACGGCGAACTGTCCGAAGAGGTCGTCGGGGCCAATTCCAGGTGTTGTTGCTGGCAACGGAAGTCGACGGCTTGTTCAGTTTCCATAGCCCGGTTCATGTGGTCGTTCGCCCAACCGTCTTTGGCGCCGTCATGTAACCGTCGGTGCAGCGAATGCAATTCCCGTCAGCGTAATCGATTAAGCTCTCTTGTGCGGATTGAACGGGTCATTCCAATTCGTGCCCACACCCTGCAAAACAGCGGAGCAAACTGTAAGCACGATTACTATAGAAGTAAGGGCTAACAGGTGTGAATCTTTGTTGTTAATTTGGTTATGGGTCGGACACTCCACGGGCCAGGCGTGAATCTTTGTTGTTAATTTATCGACACATTTTTGTTTGTCTGTTGCACCCAGCAGGACGTGTCCTATGAGGAGTAAGACGTGCGCAAGGGACGGCCGAACTGTCAAGGACCACAGAAGTCCGTCGGGATCCGAACTTCGCAGATTTCGAATCGACGGCCAACCGGTTATCAATGGGTCGCAGTGAACAGACTGTCGGCCAATCGTCATAAAGAACTGTTGGCCAATCGTCATAACGAACCGAAGGCTAGGAGAGGCAGGAGACAAAATAAAACATGGCTTAATGACCCTCAGCCGAGCCCCGCAAACCCCGAGTAACTGCACGTCGATTCGGAAGTTGTGTGCTTGGACTCAAAGCCTTTGCAGCCCACGCGGCTTCGACACTGCAGCGCCTTCGCACTGTCGACACCCTACTGCGTGAACCGCAAAGCACGCCGTGGCAGAAGCATGACAGCGACCAAACCACACTCATCTCGACGATTGCTTTTATTGGAGGGCAACGAAGATCGACGGCATACCGCAAATGGACCCTGCCACTGACACCGTCGTCAACCCCAATAAACCCCTTTTAGGGCAATTCACAAGGCGAGCTATGTCGCGCACTACCAAGACGCCGGCACCGAAGACGGACTGGGAAGTCCAAGCTGTTGAAAACAACTGACAGATTCACGCAAAGCCTCAAAGTTCGTCGGGATCCGAATTTGGCGGGTGCTTGAGTAGCAAGGAACCTGTTTTCACGCGGCCGGTGTTCGTGGAAGGGAGTGCCAGTGGGTGCACACAAGGAACCCCATGTTTGGGCGCACAGAAGGAAGGTTGGGTTGTCGTTGAACGGAAGCACGCGCAGAACAAAGGGTAGTGGTGGATGCACCACCACACAATTCGGCGCAGCGCGACCCCAAACTGACCCCTATAAACATCGATTCTCACCATCGTCTAAGCGAGCGCGTGCGGTGTTCCATTCACTAGTGCAAGAGCTTATCGAACTTGGACATCTCCACTGCGCAGACAAGTGAAATGTAGAAATGGATGAAAGATCCCCCCTGCAACCCTTCCAAACATTGATTCGACCAGTTGAGAAGGCGACCCCCGACTCGCGCGCCTGGAACGTCGACGGGAGACAGCGCGAACCGCGCAGCACGCAGAAACACAAGCATGTCTGCGACAATACTCCTCGCACCGCGACGGCCAAAACCCTTGGGGGGCAACAAAGATCGAGGGCAAGAAAAAATGCTCGCCTTCTGAAATGCCCTTGAAGGGGTTTATGGGGGTTGCCGACTGCGACAATGGCCGTGTCCCTTATTTTCGGCAACCCCCATGAACACCTTCAAGGGCTATTCAGAGGGCGATCAATTTCTTGCACCCGCAGTCCTATCGCAATCAATTCACACTCGAAGCTCCAGGCGTCATGCGAATGACGGATAGATTTGCGCCGATCCTCAAAGTCCGCCAGGATCCGAACTTGGTGGATTTGCCTGCATCGAGTAACAGGCTTTCGCGTGGCTGCAGGTATTGGAATGGGTGGATGGCTTTCGCACAGAAGCAGGCGATGCTCGGCCGCACCGTATTTGGGGTCGGCGATGAACGAAGATCCACGGCACACCGGAAATGGACCCGGCCAGTGACAGCGTCGTCAACCCCAATAAACCCCTTTCAGGGCAACTCACAAGGCGAGCACTTTTGCGCACTACCAGGCCACCGGCATCGAAGACGGAACGGGAAGTCCAAGCTGTTGAAAACAACGGTCAGATTTTCGCGGAGCTTCAAAGTCCGCCGGGATCCGAATTTGGCGGGTGCTGGAATAGCAAGGAACCCGTTTTCGCGCGGCCTGTGTCAGTGGAAGGTAGCGTCATTGGGTGCACTGAAGGAACGCTTGTTGGTGAACGATAGCACGCGCAGAAGAAAGGGTAGTGGTGGATGCACTAACACACAATAGGGCGCAGCGCGACCCCAAAATGACCCTCATAAACACCGATTCTCACCATCGTCCAAGCGAGCTCGTGCGGTGTTCCATTCACAGGCACTAGCGCAAGAGCTTATCAGACCCCGACATCTCCACAAAGCAGACAAGAAAAATGTACAAAAGGATGAAAGATCCCCCCTTCGACCCTTCCAAACATTGATTCGGGCAGTCGAGAAGGCGACCCCCGATTCCCATGCCGGGAACGACGACGTGCGACAGCGCGAACCGGATAGCCCGCAGAAACACAAGCATGTCTGCGACAAGACTCCGCACACCGCGACGGTAAAAAACATTGGGGGGCAACACAGATCGCTGATGCGGAAAATTGCTTGCCTTCATAAATGCCCTTGAAGGGGTTTGTGGGGGTTGCCGACAGTGACAACGACCGTGTCCCTTATTTTCGGCAACTCCCATGAACCCCTTGAAGGGCATTTCAGACAGCGATCAATTTCTCGCACCCACAGTCCTCTTGCAATCAACTCACACTCGAAGCTCCAGGCGTCATGCGGAGGACGGTTAGGTTTACGCCGTCCCACAAAGTCCGCCAGGATCCGAACTTGGTGGATTCGCCTGCATTTGGAACGGGCGGATGACGTTTGCATAGAAGCAGGCGATGCTCGGGCGCACCACATTTCGGGGCGTCGATGAACGAAGATCCACGACACACCGGAAATGGACCCGGCCAGTGACACCGTCGTCCACCCCAATAAACCCCTTTCAAGCCAACTCACGAGGCGAGGAGTTTCTCGTACTACCAGGCCGCCGGCATTGAAGACGGACGGAGAAGTCCAAGCTGTTGAAAACAACGATCAGATTCACGCGGACCCTTGAAGTCCACCGGGATCTGAATTTGGCCGGCGCTGGAGTAGCAAAGAACCTGTTTTTGCGCGGCCGGTGCCAGTGGAACGGAGCGCCAGCGGGTGGAACGCTATGCTTGGCCACACGGAAGGAAGGCTCAGCCGATCTCAAGTTGTCGTTGTACGACAGCACGCGCAGATGAAAGGGTAGTGGTGGATGCACCACAACAAAATCGGGCGCAGCGCGACCCCAAACCACGAAGTCCGCTCGGATCCGAACTTGAGATCGGTTGCCGCGTTCGACCGGAAGCATGAAACACTTTGCTTTTCTGGGGGTCCCATTGAAATTTGCGGCACCGCCGCCCAAAGAATAGTTATGTAACCAGGACTCTGAGCAGCTTGCGACTTCGCATGCTTGAGATCGCAAGTCCTCCGGGATCCGAACTTTGTCGCACGCTGACAACTGGCAGGGCGTTTTCATACCTGCGCGCGCTCTCCATGCGCCGGGATCCTAACTTCGTCGAACGCTGACAGTCGCGTGTGAAAGCTTGCCGAAAAGGGAACTTCGGATGCCGGCGAACTACAGCAATCATGCGCTGTTTTCATACCTGCGCGTGCTCTCCCTGCGACCGCGCGACGATAAAAGATTGCCGCTTTCGCGAGAGTAGTGCGCATGATTGTTGTAGTTCGCCGGGATCCGAACTACCCAATTCGCCAGGCAACAACATGCTATGCGCCATTTTCTGTTTGGTTGTTGTTGGTTTCGCGCTTGCAGTCACAATGGCGACCCCCCTTGCCCCGTTGACTGAGACGTTTCTCGGAGGCGCCCGGGTTGTTCGTTATTGAACGAGGCCATCTTCTCGTGTTGAGGTTGTCGTCACGAAACATGTGGCGCTAACGCCGAAGAAACGCTATCGTCATTGTAGCGAGCGGCGTTGGCGTTCTCCATCGTGCACACCCGACGTGTGCATTCTTCGTTCTGGAGCCCGCGGATGTTGCGCGCACAGTCCTGGCATTCGTCGTGCGGAATGCGCTGTCGCGTCCCTCATGACCAGCGCCAGGAGCGCTCGCTCAACATCTACGGCCTCCATGGTGGATCATGTGCACGTTGTGTGCGCGGGATGGAGACGACAGAAGCTCTCCCGGGATTGACTCCATAGTCTCTTCGGGGAGGGAGGCTCAAGTGTTGTGGTGAGAACACGAATACGGAACGATGACCCCCTCCTCTTTATGAATACCATCCCTCTCACTGCACGCCACGTGGACGGCGGACATCCTTCACACAGTGGCCGCCCACACGACGCTTAATACCAACACTGGTCGCGCGCAACCCATGTCGCACCCGCTTGTCGCTCACCAACACCGCCGCGACCACTGCCCGTCCTTGCTGGCGCAGTTGTGATAACCAATGTGTAATCTGTTTCATGAGAACAGCAAACGTGCAAGGGAAGTGTTTCGAGGGGGTTTCGTGTTCTGCTGGGAATAGGCGATTTCGTGTTTGCCACAACCACGCGGCAGTGTATTGCAATGTTCACTAGGGTAACCACGCGGGAGTGTTTTGCAATGTTGGGCTTGGGACACGTGGAACGAATGAGAGAATAGCAGAATGGGACACGTGGAACTAATGACAGAGAAGCAGATTGGGGCACGGAAACCGTGTGGCCCGATGTCTTCGTCATCCGTTCACGCCGTCCCCGTCGCTTGCGACACGCGGCACGAAACGATGATAATGATGATGATGGTGATGCCGACATTGATGTTGATGTTGATGCTGTTGACGATGTTCATCATGATGACGATGTTGGTGATGATGACGGTGGTGATGTTGATCTGGACGACAATGGTGCTGATGATGATGGCGTACATCATCAAAATCATCAGCGGCATCGTCGCCGTCATAAAAAACACCACCATCGTCGCCTTCGTCATCGTCGTCATCATCAACAACATCATCATCATCGTTATCATCGTCGTCATCATCTTCGTCATCATCATCATCATCATCATCATCGTCGTCGTCAGCATCTGCGTCATCATCATCATCATCATCAACATCATCGTCGTCATCATCGTCATCAACACGACGATGACGACGATAATGATGATGATGATGACGAAGATGATGACGACGACGATGATGATGATGATGATGATGATGATGACGAAGATGATGACGACGATGATAACGATGATGATTATGCTGTTGATGATGACGATGATGACGAAGGCGACGATGGTGGTGATTTTTATGACGGCGACGATGTCGCTGATGATGTTGGTGATGTTGGTGATGTTGATGACGTTGACGATGTTGATGATGATGTTGTTGATGATGATGATGATGATGATGATGATGATGATGATGAGGATGATGATGATGACAATGATGATGATGTTGATGATGATGATGATGATGATGATGATGATGACGATGACGATGATGATGGTGGTGATGATGGTGGTGATGATGATGGCGATGATGATGATGATGACGATGATGTTGGTGGTGATGATGATGGTGATGACGATGGCGATGATGATGATGATAATGGCAAGCAAGAATCATGGGGCCCCTCGCGAGGAAAGAACAAGCGGGAATCAAAGGGGCATACAGAAACCATGTGGCCCAATGTCAGCGACATCCGTTCCCGCCGTCCCCGCAACTTCAAACAGGTGGCGCGACACGGCTGCTCCCATGCGCATGCAAACATGCCCGACGACTGACACATGGGCAGGCAGAAGATCACTTTACCTTGGCGAGGGGACAGCTCCCACGACGGCGCAGCTCTTTTAAAGGTCACAGTTCTTCGACGAGGCGCAGTTCTTAGACGACGGCAAAGCGCACACGACGGCGCAACCGTTCGACAAGGGCTCAGCGCATACGACGGTGGCCAGACGGGATGTCGAAGCGCAGACAACTGGAGTCCATCACTGGTCAGAAGGACGGGAAATAGTTGGCGTCGAGAGGTAACCCATACACCCTCGCCCGCAGCCGCGTGGCGCAACAGCGGAGAAGCGAAGGCGATGGAGGATGTCGCTGACGGGACGGCGCTCGCGAATGCGCTCGTCAGGCTGGAGATGCGAATGGGCTGCACCAGACCCCAGGCAACTGAGCCTCAGACTTTCGTCGCACCCCATGGAAAGACCCGCCAGTGTCCCCTCGCGCGGCCACAGACCCCGCTCGCCAGCCAGGAGACTCGAATGGCCGCGAACCCCTCCAACCTCCCCTTTCCAATAGCCCCCCCCCCCCCCCCCCCCCCCCCCCCCCCCCCCCCCCCCCCCCCCTCCCCCGCCGACGGACCAGAAAGCATAAACTGCCCCCCCGCGACGCCTCAGACCCCCTCGACTGGGGCCCGTGAAACCGATGACACGAACGCGAGGGGCCGTTTTTCCGATGACGTCCGGGAAGGGCCAAGCCGCAGGGAATTTTTTTGTCACAAAGCGCGCACCAGGCCCCCCTCGCGACAATTTTGACGTGTAGCCACTGTTCGATGCGCGGATCAAGCAGTCGCGCGGCGGCGTGCGGACCCTGCACGGAAATCCGAAACCGAAGGCCAGAGGGGGCCTCGTGTCCCGCGCGCCTACAAACACGAGAGGCGCCCTGGGCATTGACGATGCGTTTTGAGTTTTTTGATGGGGAGATGCTGCCCGACGGAAGCCTCGCACCGCCACTGTCGTCAACAGCAGTGCCCCGCACAGCTGGAGCGCCATAGCTGGCATAGCCATTCTTCAACGCGCTCGTTTCCTGGCACCGACGCACCCCGCATGCCCTCGCATGTCCCTCCGCCTACCAAGTCGTTGTCCACGTCATATTCGACATTGCTACCGCTCTCCTTACTCGAAAGGCGCGACCACCACCCCACGCAGCACCCTCGCAAACGCAAAGCACACGCCCAAAGGTCGACAGCGTGCCGTCACGTTTAACGCCTGGGTTCGCGCTCATCTCAACTCGACAGTTTCACATGGTGAGTGCGCACGCAGCCGGGACGTATGTTTGCATGTGCGCGCGTGTTGGCGGGTTTTGTGATGATATGCTCGCGCAGATCGAAAGAGGTCGTGTCTGCATGTGTGCCGGTGGGCGTGTGTGTGTGTGTGTGTTTGTGTGCGAGTGTGTGATTGCACGATCTTTATTGTTTTCGTGTGTGTTCGAGTGTGTGTTCCATTGTGTACGTGTTCGTATGAAGTGTGTGCCACACGCGCGAGGCAGGATCGTGCGCGTGTCTGTGCCTGAGGGGCGTATGTGTGTGGGCGTCGTGCGGCGGCGTGTGTGTGTGTGTGTGTGCGTGTGCCTGTCTGTGCATATTTGTTCGTGTGTGTGTGTGTTCGTGCACATTGAGCGTGGGGAGATACGCGCTAACGTGCGCGGTCAGGGATGAAAGACATGATTTCCACTTCGATTCCCCAAATGGCGCTTGTGTGTGGATGTTCGAGGAAAGTATCAAAAACGATTGCGCTCGTGCTGTGTTCAACGTCATCTTACCGCACTCGACTGATCCTGATTGATCCCAATGTCACGTCCGCCGATCTGCCCAATGGATGATCAATCGAAATACGCGGTGGCAGTGTCGATACAGCGAACGCATCCATCGACCAATCAAGAAACACGATGAGATCACTCGAGATCGGATGATTGATCGTGTCCGCCGTGTCGATGTTATCACCGCGTGTGTGTTGTTCGTTCTTTCGTCTGTGTTCAGACCACTCGTGATCGGATGATCGATCTGATCCATGACAATATGCACACCACACACGTGATGAACCGACCCATCACCAAACACAAGCCGACCACTCGCGATCGGGTGATAGATGTTGTTAGCTGCCCCAACAACATCGCCCCTGATCTGCCAAACGGATGATTAATCAATGCACGAGGCGACAACGTCTGGATCACAAACGCATCCAACCGACCAGGCAATATATTACTTGCGATCGGACGATTGCTCSTGTGTGCTGCACCGAAGACGTCGCCRATTGTGTRTTTYGATCGTCTCAATGGCAAAACCAAAACACACGCGGCGATGTGCATGCGTGYGTGTGTGTTTGCGTGTGCGTGTGTGTGTTGTATGAGCACCATAACCTGTTTTGTGTTTCGCAAGGCGATGTGCGTGCGCGTGTTTCTGTGCGTCTGCGTGTGCGAGATGCAACCCGTCGGCGAGCGACCTGTTTATCTAAGCACCTGATAGTCATGGACTGAACAGTCGATTGGTCAAGGAATCTGCCTGGATCAACTGATTGGCAATTGATCGACCACCGCACCAACCGCCAACCGAGCAGCCGATCAATCAGCTGATACTGGCAGATTTCATGACCAATCGATTGTTCTGTGCACATTGATCGCGGAGAATCCTCAAGGCAAATGATCATGTGCACGATCGAAACCCGCGAACAAATCACACAACCTTGTCACAATGTTGTCGCACATCGAAAGTTGATCCCGATCTTCGAACGGAAGAAAAGCACTTCGTCACAATCTTGTTGCACATCGAACGTCGTATAACATCGAACCCGGCTCCACATCAAACCTCGGCGGGCGTCGAACCTCGTCGGACGTCGAACTTTGGAGGACGTCGGGTCATCGACACTTGACGGTCACTGAATGACGAACGTGGAGCAGCCACCACCCCACGCATCGTCGGTACAGTCCTCGTCATCTGAACGTGACCGTCCTAATCCGCCAGCACAAACTTGGCAGTGCCAACCGAACTGATCGTGCAATCAAACACCGGAAGAAGTCCGGATTCCGGCGAGCTTGAGCAGCTGTTCGAACACGCTTCACAACCCTGGACCGCAACCACAATCGCGGACATGTGAAAATTTGAAGTCCGCCGGGATCCGAACTTCAAGAAATTGTTGGACGGCGAGTTTGACAAACAGGTGTGTCTCTCCCACGCAGTTTCGCGAAGTTCGGACCCCGGCGAACTTCAGGTTCCCGCCTTTTGCAAGACATGTTTGAGGCTCGCCCGCTGGCCTGTGGATCCGAACCTCGCTTGCACGGTTCCTTGCACAATCGTCAACTCCGGACCTCGGTGAACTTCGGATTTGTGAAAATGCGAAGTCCGCCGGGATCCGGACTTGTCCTTCATGGTTCCTCACACGAACGTCAAGTTCGGACCCTGGCGAACTCCGCTTTCCGCATTGTGTGGGTTTCGATTGCGGACTTTCCAGCGCCCGAGGGATTGGCACAACTACGGATTCGAAAAATGTGAAGTCCGCCTGGATCCGAACTTCTCGCGCACGGCTCCTCGTTCAGTCGCCGAGTTCGCCGGTTGTTTCTCTCCCGCGCGGTTTCGCCAAGTTCGATCCCGGCGAACAACAGGTTCCCGCCTTTCGCCAGACATTTTTGCGGCTCGCTTGCCCTCCCGTGGATCTGAACCTCGCGTGCCCGGTTCCTCGCACGTTTGCCAAGTTCGGATCCCAGCGGACTTTGGATTCGTGAAAACGCAAAGTCCATCGGGATCCGAATTTCTCGTGAACGGTTCCTCGTGCACTCGTCAAGTTCGGACCCTGACGAACTTCGCTTCCCGCAAGATGTGGGTTCTGTCTGTGGGCTTTCTCGCGCCCGGTGGTTTGCCACAACTTTTGTTTCGCAGAAATGCGAAGTCCGTCGGGATCCGAACTTCTCGCGCACGGTTCCTCGTCCCATCGTCGAGTTTGCCAGCTGTGTCTCTCCCGCGCGATTTCGCCAAGTTTGGATCCCGGCGAACTTGAGATTTCCTCCTTTCGCAATTCGTGTTTGCACCCAGCCTGCTGGGCCGTGCATCTAAAACTGCCGTGCACGGTTCCTCGGACAGTCGTCAATTTCGAATCCCGGCGAACTTCGGATTCGAGAGAATGCGAAGTTCGCTGGGATCCGAACTTCTCGTGCAAGGTTCCTCGTGCGGTCGTCAAGAGTCGACCCAGGAGTACTTCAATTTTCGGGTGGTGTGGGTTCTGACTGTGGGGTTTTCTGGCGGCAGATGGATAGCCACAACTTCGGATTCTTAAAAATGTGAAGTCTGCCGGAATGCGAAATTCAAGAACTTTTGGGACGCCGAGTTTGACAGACAGCTTTGTTTCTCCCGCGCAGTCTCGCCAAATTCTGATCACGACGAACATGAGGTACCCAGCTCTCGTGGGACATGGTTGCGGGTGGCCGGCCAGCCGGCAGATGTGAACACCGACCAGGTCGACCCCCCGAAATGGGATCTTCGAGCATGCGTTTTGTCTGATGCCAAGGGTTGCAGATCGCGAAACACGACGTGTTTACGAGTGTCTCCGTGCCCGTGTGTGTCATTTGGCATGCGCGCGTGTTGTGTAGGGTGCGTAATGGAGGCGACCTTCTCGACACCACGAATCGTGGAGCCGATCTTCTCGACACCATAGACCATGAGTCCCGAGATGCACATTCGCTTGGCAGAACCGTTTCCTCCTTGCACGCGATCCGTGTGGTATTTTAACGGTGTAACTACGATCCACGGAGCGACCGCAGAGGACTTCCACGAGGACCCCTGGATGACTGTCGTCCCGTGCCTGGAGGGGCATGTTGACGGCTGGTGCGATCGAAATTGGGCCACGATGGAGAGTCGCTGTCCTTGGGCAAGCCAGTACAAGTTTGCCAACATGTTGGAGTTCGGGAACCTTATCCCGGTGTCTGACGCTGTCCTTGGACACAAGTTCCTAAACCACATGCGCAGAGCACTGGGCTGCATTAGCCGCCATTTTAGCCGCCTCGAGTGCCACTACGTCAGGTCGTCACCACGAACTTGGGGATGCCCCCAGAAACAAGAGTTGGTGGACTGCGCTCGCCACTGCTCATTCCTAGAGCAGTACCCGCTCCGCTGCCCCGGGAATTCTCCACAAGCTGTGTCATACTGTTGTGTGCGATTGACTATGTCCGGGTCTGATTTCGCCAGAGTTCTATGTGTCGCTGCTTCGAACAAGAGCAGGAAACTTGTGGATGCAGTTGTGCTTGTGTCACGCAACGAGGTGGTGATTGAGGGGTCCAAATTCGTGGAGACGCTCGGGCCTGAACATGTAGATAGGTGGCGTGATGTGGTTATAGCAGGGCGGGTCCGAAACTTTTCGATGCATCGTGAGGTCGAGGAGAAAGTGTGCGATATACGAGACTGCATAGGGAATTCCTTAGCACGACCGGGTGTGTTTGTTAGGATGAAATACATGTCCGTCTTTTCCGAGAGGGCATCGGTAGACGAACCGCAGATCCACATATACGGATCATCAATGAATGCTTTGTATGGCTTCGGTTCACTACGTCGTCCCAGGGGAACCCCGAATGTCGACACATCTGAACGATAGGTCTGTCTTTGACGCCGTCTCCTTCACTGTCGCGCCCCGGCGAAGTTCAGATCCCAACGAACTTCGCGTTTTGGGGTGTGCGTTGATTTGGCTTCGGTACTGTTGGCGTCGGGCGGGCCGCACGAACCAGCGGGGCCCACGGGCAGGGTCTTGCTTGAGGCCAAAGGCCCGTTCTACCGGCCTTCGAGGTACAAGTGTTTGCCAGAGACCTAAATCCGGCTGGGCGCGGCGTTCGTAAAAGATTTGCGACCAGTTCCGCCTGGGCACGTTCGCGATCTGAGACCGCCGCCAACCGGAGTGCAGTGTGCCCTGTCCGCGTTCGGTTGCCGCCCGTCCACCATCGACATGTGCCAAACAGTCGATCATTGTCGTTGCGAAATGCCAAAAGCACTCTTAGGGATCCCAGTCGCAGAGTTCGACGCTGGCCGAACAATTCTGAAGTTCTCCCTCGAACACCTTGCTCGGACCCCGTCTTGCGTCCAACCTCATACGTGATCCGGTATTTCTCTCTGTGTGTCCTTCTCGAAGCGTCCTTAAGTTCGGATCCCGGCAACCTTCCTGTGACGCCTGTCTATTGGACACACACTGGTCTTCATGATCCCCCGTGGAATGCGACAACAGTTCCTGTCCGCGCTGCTCCACACGTTTCGTTTTGCCCCGCCAGGGACCCATACAATGTTGTCAAGGCTGCTGCGCATATCAGAAGAAGTTCGGATTTCGGCGAATTAATCCTTCTCACCCGGCCTCTCATGTTTGTGTGCCATTCCCAGGTCGTGTTTTTCTTTGAGTCCACGGATCATGTGTCTGTGACGCCGTCTCTGCCTGTCGCATCGTCCTGAAGTTCGGATCCCGGCGAACTTCACGATTCGGGAGGTGCATTGGTTTGTCTTCGGACCTTTCCGTCTGCTGGTTCGCACAACCCGCCCGGCGACGGGGAGAGTCCGTCTCCGACTTCTGGTTTTGATCAAATGCATTTGCGGAGTGTGTTCGCTCAAGAACAGTTCTGGAACGCCGACTGCATGGGCTGGTTGTTTCTCTCTTTCTTTCGCACCGTCTTTTAGTCTGGACCCGGGTGGACTTCGCGTGCCAGTCTGTCCGGGTTCCGAGTGCTGGGTGGAGGACACTGCACTGTCCAACGCGAGCTTCGAACATCACCGGCAGTCGTGAAGTTCGGATCCCGGTGAACTTCTCGATTTTCCCTATGCCTTGGTCTTTCTTCGTTCTTCCGGTGCGCCGTCTGCCGCATAAACGGCGCTTGATCCCCGGCACTCTGCCTCTCCGCCTTGTGCACTGTTGAAATTCGGATCCCGGCGAACTACCCATTCTAGTCGTTCCTAAGTTGGGTTCCGGGATGTCTTTGCGTGCGGATTTCGCTGCGCAAGAGCCTGCGTTGCCGTATGCCGACGACTGTTCTGTTCCTGATGTGTTTTCCAAAACCTTGACTGCATGGTGTGTGGTGTGATTTGGGTTGTCGTTCGCAGACAGGATGTCTTCTTCAAAGGCGAGGTGGAGGCAACGGGGACCTCCGGGAAGACATCCGGAAAAGATTCCACGAGGAGATCGTCTACTGCCACGAAAGGGTGGTCGAGCCATTCGAAGTCGAAATGGTTCATCGACTGGTGTTGTGGAGACGCTTCCAACCCCACTGCGCAGCCATGTGGTCCTGTCATCTTCTTCGATGACGGCAGAAGGCGTCGAGTGCTTGGGGCCGTCTTGGGGTGGGAGGACGCGAAGGGGGGCCGGCAACATTTCCATATGGAAAAGGTTTATGGCTCCAAACGCAACGTCATTGCCAATTTGAAAGGGGTGTTGTTGGACCTCGAATTGTGTGAGGGTTTCAGAGCGGGTGTTGTGGACACCCCGTTCTACAGAGAACTCGTTCTCGTGGGTGGTTTTGTTTTGGTGCGAGAGTTTTTCGACAAGCTGGAGGACAAGAACATCGTTCTCGACGTCCCCTGCGACGTCGGCCCCTCCTTGGAGCTCTCGTTGCCGTTCAGGCCGTGCGGCGGTTGCGAGTCAAGCGGGGCGGGGGCGGAGGGCGGTGATCTGGGTTCTTGTCCGGCTACTCAGCTGCACCGCGGCGAGAGTCGGGGACAGTTCGATGACAGCGAGGACAAGGGGCCTGCAGCGCCGTTGAGGGACAGGCGGCGGTCGGTGTTGTCTATTCCAGGGGTCGACATTGGAGATCCGGTTCGACGGGAGAGTGCGGAACCTACAGGAAAGGTGGCAGCCTCTTTGGAGGTCGACTTGGAGGCGAGCGAGGGCCAGAGTGTGGATGAGGTGACCGCGGGCGGCCTGGGCACGGGAAGCACTCCGCAAAAGAGGAGGGGGGATCGCCCAGACGAGTTCGTCGGTTCTTCGAAGAAGCTGAAGAGCAAGGCCCCCAGGACTGCGGGAGAGAAACGAAAGGGGACCGAGGGGGAGGAGGACCGCCAGGTTGCCAAATGGCCGGCTTCGAGACAGAAGCAGCCTGCGTCTGGAACGTCTTCTCCACCGACGGAAAGGCCTCCAATCGACGTCGACGCCGGGTACTTCCTCGAGTACAAAGACGGCGTTCGGACAAAGAGGGAGTTCGAGGTTAGCCCTGCGCAGGTCGTCGACCTCGGAGAGTGGGAGGACCTGTACAACCAGCGGTCCCTGGATCCCGTGCTCGTGGAAGGGATCAAAGAAGCGATGCGGTTGGCGTTCGAAAACAAAGCACAGTCTTACGATTTTCCTACCCTAAAGATGGCACCGTTGGGGCTTGATAAACCGACTCCGGGGACCAAGGCAGAACGTCTTAGGCCGGAGGAATGGAGGGATGAGCTGGCGGGGCAATACTACTACTACGCGGTGTGCGGGCAGCTCAACGCGGCTGCAGCGAGGTCGATGCTCGGCAGCGAGGTGGCCAGGAAATACAATTTCGAGCGGTGGCCTGCACGAATGCTCTACTTTTCAGACGACGACTTCGAAGGGTACTTGCTTGTCAGTTCCCAGGACAACAAGAAGGACCTGAAGGCGCCCCCGAGACAGCTGAAGTTGTCAATGAAAGACATTAGGTGGCAGTGGAAGCGTGACGGGTGCCCGCGTGATGTTATGGGAAACCCCAGCGGAAAACAGGCTCAGGTCCGAAAGTGGAGTGAATTCTGTGAAGTCGCGCTCAATATGACGCCGCACAACAACTTGTGGACGCTGGCAGATCAGAAGGGCGACGACGCCATCAGGAAGCAAGGCGTTGCCCTGCGTTCCTATTTCCCGTTGGCGATGGCAGGGGAGAACGTATGGAAACTGGCCGTCGACTTTTTCGATAAATGGGAGACTGGTAGATTGCTCGGCCACGATGGCGCAAAGTGGATCATGCGGAAGAAGAAGGTCAAAAATGTGAAGCCCGGGGTTGCCTACATCGAGAACGACAAGACGGGCAGGAAAGATGTCGTGTGCAACGTCCCTGTGGACCCGCCGACAAAGAAAGGCAAAAAGGAAAAAGAGGAGGGCGACTGGTTCGTGCAAGTGCCTAAGTCAGACGCACATTGTTGGAAAGCGATGGAGTCGCTGACCGACAACGAGAAGTGTCGCGTCCTGAAGAAGGTTCTCGCTTGCGAGGTGGTTTGGGTCCAGGCCGGCTCTGCGGCGTTGGCGAAGCTCGGGAAGCTGAGCGTCCAGGACATGGTTCATTTGGTGAAGTGTGACCGGGTGCTGGTGCGTCTATGGAACTACTACCAGTTCAAGCACGAGAAGAGGCCGGACGCGGATCGGAGCCAGAGGTGCCCGTTCCTGAAAACAAGGTCCGCAATTTTCAAACAGTTTGAGAGTCGTGGTTTGGATGCAGAGTTGTGGGACGGGAGCAGGAAATACGTCACTGACTCCTCGTTGTTCAAGGACTGCCCGCCTTACATGGGCTGCGACGACGACCAATCCATCGAGGCGACGGAGAAGTTGGCCGGTCACAAGAAGTTGTCCGTCGACTGGAGGAATAAGGTCCTGTCCGTTTTGACTGGCAGTAGACTAAAGAGTCGCGAGATCGCGCTTGCCGATGGAATTGTGCACATAAAATGGAAAGACACGGGCGACGTGACATCCATCGCGCCATTCGGCAACGACCCCTTGGAGGTAGACATAAGGTGTGCGGAGGTGAAGGAGGCAGTGGTTACCACAAAGAGTCACACGTTCGTCCTCAATCTCTGCGAACCGGTGGACCTGAAGCTGTGGAAACCACAAGCGTTCGACACTTTGGATTCCCAGCTTCAGACGTGGTGTCCGTCGCATTGGACGCTCGTCGTTTTCGTCCCGCGGCAGCAGAACCTCTCGTTTCTGGCCAGCATGAACCACCTTTCTTTCGTGAAGATGCTGGAAGGGAAGTGGGTGAGGAAGAGTCAACAGAAGAAAAGCTTCCCCGTCGGGAATAATTTGTACACGAAAGACGACCGGATGTACATACTCTTCAAAGGCGACGATTTGCACGCTAACACGTCCGTCGTCTACCAGGGAAAACTGTCGCCTGCCGCCGCTGCTGCAGTGTGGCTACCGCAGAAGGTTACGCAAACGGATGTGTCCGACATCCCGTTCAACCCTTGTGATTGGTCGCATGTCTCGCCTATGCGTCGGGGCAGTGTGTACGGGGACATGGAACGCAACCCCGCGCAATTCGTTAATCTTCTCGAGTCCGTCACCAAGAAGGGGGAGGGTGTATGCTTCCTCGGGAAGCCACACGCGCGATCCGTGTGGGAACTGGTGAAGGCAGGAGGGCACGTCATCGCAATGGAAGGGAACTCCGAGCTCTTGCACTTTACAATTGATCTCGTCAAAAGCGAGGTCAATTCGGGTGCCCACATTTGCAAGTTCATGGTCGTCAACGAGTCTCGCCCTCGCGCGTGGAACAACAAGACGGACATGTGGTTCAAGTTGAGTGCGAGGAAGCGGAACAAGATATACGACTTCTTGTTCCTGCAAATGCGGCCCAAGAGAGACACTGACGCCGAGTACGTGCGCCGCAAGGATCACATGTTCACTCTGCTCGACAACTGCCATGGGGCCTCCCGCATGAACGCAAAGACCTTCCTCAAGAGGTTGCAGTCCCTGTACTTCGTGGAGTCGGAGGAGGAGTTGACGTTCGGCAGTTACTCCTCCTTGATCTCCACGGAAGACGAGGAGACCACCAACATCAAGTTCGACGCGACCGCGAACGAGGAGGGCAGCGACACCGAAAGCCTCGACCTGCAGTACGACCCACATCCCGGGCAGCACATAACAGGGTCGTCCTTCGCAGGTCCGTCAACAAGCCCGGCATCCCTCGTGTCACCGATGGCGAAAGCGGCACCTGGCACTACCCCGATGAAGTTGCTGCAGAGAATGCAAGCTCTGGCCTCCGGCCATCGCTCACTGCGTCCCGGGTCTGACATCTCGGCCGATCATCTGTCTTGGAAGGATGCCAACATTCACTTTCTGCCTGAGCCTCAAAGTTGTTCCACGGAGGCGGACTGGGGCCATGACATGATTTGGCATCCAGGAGTCATCCAGCCGGCGATTCAAAAGGGTGAGTGGATCGTGGTCGTCGTTGTCCCAGACGGAGGATGGGTGCCCCTCCCTCGCGGGTCGAAGTCTGACTTCCTTGACGTCGCTAGAATTGCGGTCCTCCAGAAAGTGAGGGCCGAGAATGACTCTTTCGCACCCGAAGACGTGTTCGTCATTTCCACAGCCGGGCGATTGTTCGCCGAACTTCAGGACAAATGCTGGTTGGAGCTGACGGAGGACTACTACGACCTCGATACGAGCCCCTCGAAGGGAAGGGTGGACTGGAAAATCCCCCCTCCCAGTGGGACGCTTGTAAGTACAGGGTCCCGGGGACCGGACGGTGGGGAGAACGAGGGCGACGAAGCTGGTGGCGGCAAAGGAGTCCCGCCTGGTTCGGAGGGCGTGTCTCAGGGCGACACCACGACAGCGGAAGGCAGTGGCGGGGGAGGCCTTCGGGCGTCAGCAGTCTACCGGTCCGGTCCGGCAAGCTCGGCACAGTCAGTGGACGTGCCCACTTCATCCGCCGCCTCGGTGATGGCGGCCTTGGTTGCTCTCCGCGCCGGCTCGGTCGAAACGTTCAAGTTCGCCGAGATCCGAACTTCAATGTTTGCAAAGCGGACGAAGAGGACGGACGCGCAGAGCTTGTCAGGAGCGGGGGTGGCGAGTCGTGATCCCAAAATGGACGGCGGTGCGGTGAGGGACGGGACTGCGCCACCTGCGGGGGACCGCCAACCGCTTCGGTCAGAGCGAGAGGGTACGTGTGGAGGGCCCGGCGACAGGGAGACGGCGAAGTTCGCCGGGATCCGAACTTCTTTAGGCAAGGGGGGCCAACCAAGGATTGTCGTGCCGGCGGGAGGGGCTGCGTGCGGCGAGCGGGAAGGGCATTCGTCGAAATTCGACACGGGTTCGGCCGAAGTGGTTGGATTGCATGCACGGGAAGAAGGCAGGGTGATGGACAAAAGAAGGAAGGGGAGGAAGGAGACACAGGGGAGGAATTGGAGGAAGGAGGGGATAAGGGGAGGAAGAAGAGGATGAAGGGGAGGAAGGAGAGGAAGGGGAAGAAACGGAGTTGGTTGGGTTGCTAGGAGGGAATGACGGGGAAAAAGGTGAACTCGATACTGGAGACGACGAACGGACGTTCGGCGACGACGATGACAGATCTGGAGAGTCGTCTGACGGATTCGGGCAGCTGTACGGAGAACATCGCGAGGAAGACGACGACGACGATGACACGGCACTAGGTATGGAGACACAGGTGGTCACAAGCCTTTTGGCAGAACGTGATGACTATGAGGTCGAAGCAATGACGTCTGTCGTCGATCTCCAACAACGGTTTAATGACGCTAGTGTTGCGGTCAGCCTGAATAAACCGAGTGTGCTTATTGACATCGAAGAAGTTATCGACGGCATCCTGGGCGACCACCACATGTCCACGCAGCCGTCCTCTACGCCTGGTGTCGACGACCCTCTCGACGTCAAACCTTCCGGGGGATCTGTCGTGGCTTTGTCGCCGACGAACTCTCCGATGCTGTCGTCGACCATCGCCAACGGAGGAGAAGGCGAGATCAGGGGACGACAAGACGTCACATCCCCGAAAAATATTGTTGCCGGCACTCGAGCTCTCGACGTGCTGGCCTTGCCCGCGCCAACTTCGCCGATTAAGGAGCGGAGAGACAAACCAGCTAGTAAGCAGTGACAAACGCCACTCTGTCTGTGCGCCAGTGACCCATGTGTCTGTCGATGTGGAGAGTTCCTGATGCCGGCATGCTACAGTCACCACTCCTTCAAACATCCAAGTACATGTGAACGACCATCCTGTGAGTCGGCCAGGTCACTGTGTGAAGTACATGTGTGTTTTTGTTGAAGCGTCCCATCACATGATGGAAGGATGGTGTTTCTTTTTCGGAATGAGTGGTGGTTTTCGTCCGCCGGGATCCGCACTGCCAAGGCCGCTGCGTAATGCGGTTACTCTTTTTGTGCCTCGATTGGGAAAAGTCCGTCGGGATCCTAACTTCATAAGTGTTTGGCCTCCGCGTTTGTGGCTTGTTGAGGTTTTCCCTTCTGAAGGGCGGGGGKGTCGAGGTCGAACGCACTGCTCCTTTTGTTTCCCAACGGGGCTTGCGCGGAAGTATTCTCTGTCTCTCTCATGGCTAAACGAGGTTTTGTAATTAGATAGGTCCTGCGTCTTCTACATTTCGTGGTTCTTGAATTGTCGTTTTCGTCGGATTCGTCTTGGATTAGGTATATTCATTTTCCGTTTTCTCTTCCTTCGTTTGTCCAGGGGTTGGGTCATCTCCCTTGGTCGGAAAAGTCCGTCGGGATCCGGACTACAGAGATGTTTGGCTTCCGCTTCTGTGACTTGATGTGCTTTTCCCTTCTGAAGGGCGGGGGTGTCGAGCTCGAGTGCACTGCTTGTTTTGTTTTGCAGCGTGGCTAATGCGGAAGTTCTCTCTCTCGCACTCTGCTGGCATGACGGGGTTCTGTAATTGCATAGGTCCTCCGTCTTTTAGATTTCGTGGTTCTTTTATTGTCCTTTCGTGGGGTTCTTCTTCGGAATCGTGTATTCATTTTCCGTTTTGTCTTTCATCTGTTGTACAGGGGTAGGGTCGTCTCGAACACGGAGACCCTCTAAATATCCAAACACATATTGCAGACAGTCCCGGGGTTGACGACAAAACACAAGGACATGTTAAAGGTGTCAGGGGTTGATGTCGAAATCGGGAAGAAGGAGCATGCCATTGCCATTGAGGAGTGTCTTTCCCTTCTGCCCCCAGAGAAAGGGAGATATCCACAATCTGTGAGTAGGGGTCAGACCATGTATGAGAAATACTTAGCTACTCGTCGTGCGGTGAAGGAGAATCCTTAGAGTTCCGTTTCTCACTTCCCCCCCTGTCCTTTGCTCGATGTTGTGCAGTGCGGGCCACGGCACCTGGAACAGCAGTGACTGCGATTGGAAGCTTGCGGGTTTTGGACGGCATTGAACGAGGCTTGGTGCCACCTGACACTGTACTCTCGACCCTCGGCGATGGTCAGTTGCGCATTGCAGCGAAGGATATTCTAACCCTCTCACTTACCGACGGCGGGGTGAATGATGAGGGCGTCAACTTTTACATGGCGCTATTGGGAACGACCGCATATGGGATACGTGACATCCCGTCAGGCCTTCGAGTCTTCAGCTTTAATTCTTTTTTCTTCAGTAAACTGCAACTTCAAGGACACGGCGGGGTGGAAAGATGGGCTAAAAACGTGGATCTGCTTCAATATGATATTATCTTCATTCCGGTCCTCAAAGATAATGATCACTGGATCCTCCTTTCCATGAACTTAAGAGATAATGTTCTTGAGATTTTCGATTATTTTCCTTGCGTTGTAGCCGATTCTAGTTTTTACCTTAGTGTTTTCGAGTTGATCGTACACTATTTGGAATGTCAAACATCACATAGGCAGTCGTGCGGGCGCTGGAAGTCGGTAGCAACAAATGTTGTTATAGAGGGAGCTCCAAGACAAGTGGATGGAGTTAGTTGCGGGGTGTTTATGTTGATGTTTGCGACAATGTTGTAACGTGGCGATCGACCGCCTTTCAGGTTCTCTTGTAAAAATATTTTGTATGTTAGACGACAATTGGCATCATGTATCTTAGAATGTCGTTGTCTTTGATGGATTCAATTGATTTGCAAACTTCTGTTTCAGAATATTTCATATTTTGACTATCGCTTTCACAACGACATTACACTCTTTTGGTGTTGCGAGTTTGAGTTGTCTTTGGTATGTTGACTGCCAGTCTGGCGTCGCGTGTTGCCTTCGAAATCTCTGTCAGGTCCGGCTCGTCTGTCGTGCCATTACATTCATCGCATTGCAGTCCTCGTTGCAAATTGTGTCCAGGTCATCCAAAGGTGTGCATATAATTCACCTCGAAATGATATTCGTGTGTGTGGTGCGACATGACGAATTGGAGTGTGGATGCAAGATGAATCTCGGCGAGTGTGTGGGTGGGTGTGAGGTTCTTTATGCAAAGAGTAAATGACCAGTGACATCTCGTCTCTTGTGTGCATAGACAATCATGTACCGCCTGAATTACATGTAACCGACAATTTTGCGTTCGTGACCGGGAAAAATAAATTGTATGTTGAAAATAATTTTTTGTACTTCTAAAGAAGTCTGAATCTCTACAACATCCAGACAACTGCCTCGGGCGAGATGATTTGTCATGCATGTACAACTCACGCATAAAAGAAATAAATAGTATTATCCAACAAGGATTCAATCATGACACCTTGCTCATCACATTCACAAACTTGAAGTTTGACAAGTGTGGCTCCCAACACACTATCGCACAGGCATCCCGGATGGGCGTGCCTGTCACTATTCTACGTCTTCTAATATAATTATCCAACGAGGATGCAATCATGACACATTGGTCGTCACAATTATGGAATAGAAGTTTAACAAGTACGGATCCCAGCACACTTCTGCACAGGGTTCCCTGATGCGAGTGTCTGTCGTTATTCGTTTATGAAGTTTAAAAAGTACGGATCTCGACACACTTCGGCACAAGATTCCCGGCACATTTCTGAAGTTCAACAAGTAAGGATCCTAGCACACTTCCGCACAGTGTTTGCCTGATGGGCGTGCCTATCGTTATTCGTTTATGGAGTTTGACAAGTGCGGATCCCACCACACTTCCGCATAGGATTCCCAGCAGTGCCATGTTTTTGAAGTTCGGCAAATAAGGATCCCGGCAAACTTCCGCACAAGGTTCCCGTACGGCGTGCCTAACATGTACGGGTTTGAACACGCTTCCTCATTTGGGATATCATTTATAAAGTTTCACCACAAGTACGGATCTTAGCACACGTCTGCATGTGCTTAAGCCCTGGATGGGCGTGCCTACGTTGCTTGGCCCTGACCCAAAAAAGAATTCGTTAGAAAGAGGACACAGTATAATGTCCTATTTTAACGAATAACATGTTGTGAGTGAGTGTGTGTGTGTGTGTGTGTGTGTGTGTGTGTGTGTGCGCTGCCGCCGCTACGCCCTCGCTGGCGCGCGGACAGCGCACTTGTGAGAGAGTGTGTGTGTGTGTGTGTGTGTGTATGTGTGTGTGTGTGTTTGTGGGCGCGTGGTGGGTGGCGGGGGGGTGCTGCGACCCCTCCCCCACCACTCAATCAATCAATCAATCAATCAATCAATCAATCAATCAATTAATCAATCAATCAATCAACGGGAAAAAAAAAAAAAAGGCAAAATCGAACGAATCTTCCACTAGAACATGGAAATATACAATACT